CCTGGCACCCTTTTTCCAAACCCCTCCTTTGGTACCGTAGGATTTTGGACAACTGGCGCCATGCTGCAATTCGGGCGCCACTTTCAAATACTGCATTTTTCAGTTCTGCCCTCGGGGCCTTCGCAAAAATGCCCCTAGTACCGTACGTGTTACCGATACTTATACCGGCTCCCCGTACGGTACGGGGACCAGTCTTGTACCAGTTCTCTGCTGCTGTACTCGTACTCAGTGTGACTTGTTGTTTTCGGCATTCGGGAATCCAAGACTTTGACTTTGTGCCTTGCCACTGTGTCTGCGTCCGATCCTCAGTCCGAGTCCGTCGTGTCGAGTGAGTGAGTGTGTGTGTGTGCTCTCACTCTCCCCCTCTCTCTCCTCTCCCTCGGCTCACCCGCAGCCTCACGCTCGTTACACAAACCCTGTTCCCTCTTACTCCCGCAGCCCCTGCCACCCACATTATACCCCTCTTCCCTTTCGACTTGTTAACCAGTGATCGGCCCCGTCCCGTCCTTCACAGATTTCAGCATTGTTTCATGATTTTTGGCAGCCGGGACGTTGCCTACTAGAGGGAGGGGATAGTATTACAGACTCCGCCAGGGCTATATCCCTGGTCTATCTTTCGCTGTTTCAGCTGCATCCCGTTTTCGGCCTGGCACCCTTTTTCCAAACCCCTCCTTTGGTACCGTAGGATTTTGGACAATTGGCGCCATGCTGCAATTCGGGCGCCACTTTCAAATACTGCATATTTCAGTTCTGCCCTCGGGGCCTTTGCAGAAATGCCCCTAGTAACGTACGTGTCACCAGTACTTATACCAGCTCCCCGTACGGTACGGGGACCAGCCTCGTACCAGTTCTCTGCTGCTGTACTCGTACGCAGTATGAGTTGCTGTTTCGGCATCCGGAATCCAAGATTTCGACTTTGTGACTTGCCACTGTGTCTGCGTCCGATCCTCAGTCCGAGGCAGTCGTGTCGAGTGAGTGAGTGTGTGTGTGTGCTCTCACTCTCTCCCTCTCTCTCCTCTCCCTCGGCTCACCGTCAGCCTCACGCTCGTTACAAGTAGCATCTACTTTGGCCAACAAGGAGCGCATGATAGTCACAGACTATATCCCGAATGTAGTACGTACCTTCTCCTATGGAGGAGGGGAACTTAATCATAAGATTTCGTTCCTGGTTAGCGACGACTTACCGTTTGACATGTTACTAGGCATGTACTACCTTGAAGTTGCTAAGCCCCAGTTCGACTGGGATAAGAAGGTGCTCAAACACAAGTTGCCCGATGGCAGAACTGTCAGATTGACTAAGTTCAGAGCCAGTAGCATTATAGATACCTATGGCTGCTTGTGTGCATCAGCGTTCTACAATTACTATAAGCAAAACCAAGAGGAGGGTATGTACCTAGTGTATGTCTCTGAGAAAGGGGAGGCCGTTAGAACACCCCCAGAGATAGAACACGTCGTTGCTAAGTTCTCTGATCTCTTCGAAGAGCCTACAGGAGTTGTTGAAAGGGAAGTTGTCCACGCTATAGAAATCATTCCAGGGAGTAAGACCCCAAAGGGAAAGATCTATAGGATGGCTCCCGCCGAGTTAGATGAACTTCGGCGACAACTTAAAGAGCTGACAGAGAAGGGATGGATTCGGCCTAGTACTTCCCCTTACGGATCTCCCGTACTATTCGTACCAAAGAAGGGGGGTACATTGAGGATGTGCATTGACTATAAAGGCCTCAATGCCATCACTGTGAAGAACGCAGAGCCTCTACCTCGCATAGACGACCTATTGGATAGGGTGCAGGGATGCAAGTACTATAGCAAAATAGACTTGAAATCCAACTATCATCAGATAGCTATAAGACCTGAGGACCAATACAAGACAACTTTTCAGACTCGTTATGGTCTGTATGAGTTTGTAGTGATGCCCTTTCGCCTTTGTAATGCGCCGGGAACATTCCAGCACGCTATGAATCGGATCTTCCATGACCATTTAGATAAGTTTGTCGTAGTATACCTTGACGACATTCTGATCTTTAGTAAGTCTGCCGAGGAGCATGCAGAGCACGTTGAGACTGTGCTTCCACTCCTGCGACAACACAAGTATAAGGTCAACCTAGAGAAGTGTGAGTTTGGTCGCACTAAGATACTATACTTGGGTCATGAAGTATCCGCGGAAGGGATTAGGCCGAAAGATGCGAAGGTGGCTAGTATTCGAGACTGGCCACGACCTCAAACAATCACCGAGGTCAGATCTTTCTTAGGAATGTGCGACTACTAAAGGAACTTCGTAAAGAAGTATCCTACAGTCGCCTCTCCTTTGACAGATCTAACTCGACTTGACACGCCGTGGGACTGGAGTAATGAGTGCGAGGGTGCTTTCAAGAGATTGAAGCATGCACTCATGAATCATGAAGTTCTCATGGTTCTCGATCCTCAGAAGCCATTCATAGCGACCACTGACGCAAGCCAATACGGCATTCGCGCAGTGCTGGCTCAACAGGATGGGAAAAAGTTGAGACCGATTGAGTACATGAGTAAGAAGATACCATCGAAGAAACTGGCAAAGTCCACCTACGAAAGGGAACTCTATGCTCTCTACAAGGCACTTGTCCATTGGAGACACTTCCTATTGGGAAGGTTCTTCTACTTGAGGACTAATCATGAGACCCTCAAATGGATCAAGACTCAACCGGCTCTTTCTGACGCACTCAAGCGAGGGATTGAAGTCATAGACCAATATGACTTCAAGCTTGAGTATCTGAAGGGAGAGTACAACAAGGTTGCAGACGCACTATCACGTAGGGTAGACTACCTAGGTGCGCTAGTTTCTGACTTTGGTGTATCTGAAGAAGTAACTCAATCATTGGTGGGAGCCTATCAGGAAGACCCTGTCATGATGGACATCATGCGCAAACTTCAGGCAAAAGACAAGGCCACGGAAAGTGAGTTTGTGATGGTGGACGGGCTACTCTATCTTGATAAGGCCGGTGTTAAAAGGCTAGTAGTTCCATCTAGTGAACGTTTGCGTAGTTTGTTTTTAGGCGAATGCCATGACGCAACCGGACACTTTGGTTACAAAAAGACGAGTGCTAATCTAGTTCAGCGATTTTGGTGGCCTGGAATGCTAGATGACGCAAAGAAGTACGTAGAGACTTGTCAGGTCTGTCAGCGGGACAAGCCGCGAAGTCAAGCACCGCTTGGGTTGCTGAAGCCCTTACCTATCCCTGCTGGTCCAGGACAGAGTGTTTCCATGGATTTCATGGATACCCTGGTGACCAGCAAGAGTGGCAAGCGACACATCTTCGTCATCATTGATAGATTCACCAAGTACGCTAGACTAGTCGCCATGCCAGAAACAGCAAGGACGGATCATGTCATCATGTTGTTCCAGGACAACTGGGTGCGTGACTTTGGTTTACCAAAGACAATCGTTAGTGACAGAGATGTCCGTTTCACAAGTGAGCTGTGGAAGAAGACTGCTGAGCAGATGGGCAGTCAACTTCAGATGACTTAAGGGAATCATCCCGAAGCCAACGGACAGGCCGAGCAAATGAATAGAGTTGTACGGCACTTGTTGAGGCATTACATCAAGCCCAACCAGGATGATTAGGATGAGAAGTTGCCTCTCATCGCCAGCCTGTACAACAACGCTGTACACAGCAGTACCGGCGTTAGTCCTAACCAGCTGCACTTGGGATGGAAGCCTAGATCTGCTCTAGACTTCCTCCTACCCGAAAACCGATCCTCTGCAACTCCAGGCACACTTGAGTATGGTGTGCAGTATGAGGAGTTGTTGCAGCAAGCTGTCGAGCATATTAAGAAAGCTCAGCAAGCAACGATTGCTTCTGAGAACAAGCATCGACGACAGTCCTCATTTCAGGTAGGTGAACGTGTCTGGGTCAAGGCTAGTGAGCTAGGACAGGAATTTGGTATCTCTAGAAAACTAATGCCGCAGTACTTTGGTCCTTGGGAAGTCTTGGATGTAGTGGGGGATGAGATGGATGGTCCTACCTGTGTTATCCGTATCCCTGGACACCTACGCACTCACCCTGTCTTTCATGCCTCAAAGCTTGCACCTTTCGCTGAGACTGATCAATTCCCTTCAAGGAGATCGATGCTGCCCCCAACCATGGATGGTCAAGTGGACATCGACGACATTGTGGATCACAGAGATCTGCCTGTTCAGAAGCCTTTGGGTAGAGGAAGACCTCCTAAACCCAAGAGAGAATATCGCGTCAGATTCAAGCATCATACGGATCCAAAAGAAGACCGGTGGTTCACCAGAGAGGAACTGATTGACACAGCTCCTCAGGTGGTAGCAGAATATGAGAGGATGCTCAAAGGGAAGGCACCTGCGAAGTAAGCATCTCAACGGACTTTCGAAGCTAAGGGGGATGGAATGTGAGGNGCAGAATATGAGAGGATGCTCAAAGGGAAGGCACCTGCGAAGTAAGCATCTCAACGGACTTTCGAAGCTAAGGGGGATGGAATGTGAGGATTGAGCCCTCAAGTAGGGGCCTTGCCATGATGTACATGTCCTGGTCTAAGGCCCCAGCAAGCCTCGTGCCCGCCCTAAGTGAAGGCGGGCCAGCAAATCAACAAGAGCCCTCTGTGCAAACATTTCACGAAGTAGGGTCCTTACAGTTGCAGCACGCCAGTTGGTTGGAGTGCACCGAGTCTCGGATCTCTGCAAATGTGGAAATCCCAGGGCCTCTGAGTTAGTTAGGCCCTGGGCACTTGAACGTGAGGCCGACAATGCATGCTGGGTAGAGAGGCCGGGAATGCCAAAGGGAAATCGGCCCACTATCTGAATCTGGCCGCAAGCCTTGATGAAAGAGGCGCAACTGCATTGCCCCGGGCCTCAACTGTTTCGGGCCTGGGTTCAGCCACTGGGGCCCAGACGCAGGCTGGAGGGAGGCTGCCCACACGCAACACTGGCATATAGGCAAGCAGGGCGAGTGGGCAGGGATCTTTTGCCAATGCAGGCATTGCCGAAAGGCTGCACGAATGCGAGCTGCTGCGCGGTGTAAAGCTGCATTGGGCAGAGGGAGGCAGACAACGCTAATGCGGTGGTGCGTTGTCTGGGCGCAGGGCGCTGGCAGCCATAGCGAAGGTGGTTCTTCAGAGGTGAAGGGCGCTGTGTGGTTAACAAGGGAGAGTGTGGGTGAAGAGGACACGTACCTGGTGGAGGTGGAAGTCGGCATTGGTGTTGACATCATCACTCGCTGGTAGTCAAGTTGTCTGGTTGCTTTCATTGCTGTAGTTGTAGGCTTAGTCTGTAGAGTAGATAGGGCGCCTGGCGCCATTCACAAGAGAGAGCTACATTGGGTTATGTTGTTGGTGTTGCCCTGTTGGGCTAGGACATTGACTCACGATTCTTCTGTATCATTCTCAAATGGATGGTTACTCGGTTCCATTGTGCTATCTGCTCTGGCTTTGACTACTTGGACTTCAGTGTGATTTTGCATTCTGGATTTCTGTGCTTCGTCCATATTCATGTTCCTTGCATTATATATATATATATAGCCTCGTGATGAGTCAGTTAAACTCCGACGAAACAGTCTGTCACAGCCCCTCGTTTGTTGTTCTCTTCTCCCTCTCTGCCTACGGTTTACCGAGCAGCTCTGTTTGACTATATATTGATCAGTACATTGCCAATTACAAAAGGTTGTTGGTCGGGCATTCTCGATCTACTTTTTTCTCGTCTCTTTCTCAGAAGTTGAACAACTGGCGTTCAGCAATCCTTGCACATTGTCGATCCAATGCAGCCTCGTTCTCCAATCACACGAGCTAGACACGTTCACTTCCTTCTATACATGCCTCCTTGCGCCATCTTCAACAACACTTTGCCATTGGCCCTGTGGACAAACATCGCACAATTTGGCAATTTGTTGCAAGAATTGGTATCTGTTTCGTCTTTCCACCCATTTGGAAAGTCCGACTTATACTCGTCCTGATGAATCCATCGCCCATACTGATACCCTACCTTCCCTTTACTACGCCCTGAAAGCTCGCAAATCTCCTCCAGCTCTTTGTAGCATTCTTGGAGTCACAACACATAACATTGTTGTACTGAGCTCTATCAACAGGTTGGTGTTCGACTGTGCTGGATCGTTAAGAGTGCTGATGAAATGGCGATTGACCTGAAAAACAATTGATTGTTTCTTAGTGGCCTCTCTCCTTGCATTTTACCACAATGTACACCAACCTCCCTCATGACCTCATTCTGAATAATGTGGCAGAAGTTGTTGATGAAGCCTATGCTTATGCCCTTCGACATACTCGCACGCATTCGCGCTGCAGTGCCCTGAACATGACTATTCGAGAATCTCGTTGTGGCCAATGGGCAACCGATTCAGGCCCGAACACCCTTTCCGTTTCTCAGATTCTCCAACATCTTCGCTTTGTTGTACAAAACACTTTTCTATACACTAGAGATGTCACACTTCGGAAGCAAATTATCGGTATTCCAATGGGAACAAATGCTGGCCCAAAAATTTATAACCTAACACTGTATTGGGATGAAGCACGCTTTGTTGATGACTGTCCCAAGAATCAGGAGTGTACTCTGGGCAACGAAGGTAGAACAATGGGAACAATGAAAACCGGAGAGTCTGTTCCAGAGATGAGCAACGGGTACCCAGACCGACACCCACCCGCACCCACCCCACCCACGAGGCATTGGGTCAGGTGTGGGTCTTGATAAGGTGGCATGGGTAGGATGAGGGTGGGTCAAGGCGAGCAAGCCTGGGTGGGTGACGAGCGGGTCAATGTTAGGCCAGGGTCACCCGAATGGGTGGGTGACAATTGGGTGAACGCTAGGCCTGGGTCACCGACCCACAGACCCAGGAGAACCCATAAGAACCCTCCCCCAGACCCCCCAACCCCCAGGCCCCACCCTTTCTTATACATATTTGCGGTCCATCTGTAGACTTCAAAGGTTGGAGGCCCAGGAAATGGAAAGTCTCCACCCTTGGGCCCCTGGGAAAAAAAGTTATCGTCCTCAAAAAAAAGAGTCGTGCTAGTGGCAACTAAAAATTTGGGGTCTTCCTTGAAAAAAGTTGTCACGCTCTACTGGTGGCAGCTGGACCACGGCCCAAACAACAGGATGTTCGCTCCCATTAAAACAGTGGGGATCGAACCTAACCACAGCAAGTGGCAAACCTTAGGTTCACTACCCAATTTCGGACTTGTGAAGCGATTCGAATTTCTGCAGTCAAATATGCTTCAAGGATGTCATGTTGCTATGGTGCATGCAAATGTTCAAAGGGACTAAGACAATGGGGAATGGGCGGGTGCGGGTGGAAAATAATTAGGTACCACGTGCGGACGGGTAATTTTGTTCTCGCAGATGTGCGTGGGTCAGGGTGAAGGTTTTTTACGGGTGACGGGCGGGTTGGGTGTGGGAGGAAATTTTCCAAAAAACACTCGGGTGGGTTGGGTCGCCTTGAAATTTTTTGTTTTTGTTTTTTTTTAGGGCGGGCGGTGCTTAAACTATTATGGGCGGGTTGGGTGAAGTGCCAATTCCAAAAACAAATGCTCATCTCTGGTCTGTTCGCAAGCGAGATTGTGAAGGAGATGGGTGTGGCGAGGAAGAACACAACCATTTGCAGCCAAGCAGAGAAAAAGATGAAAGGGGGGCCGATTGGGCAGAATTTTGAGACAAAGGACGTGAGTTTCAAAGAGACTGTGATGTTCTTTGCACTGGAGCTGCGGTAGAGGAAGTTGTAGCAGCAAAAAGTATAGTACGGGGGACTGCAGCATAGGAAGCTGTAGTGGGAACTGCAGTAGCAGAAACTGCCAGAGTGAAAGTCGGAGTTGTAGAAAGTGTAGCGGTGGAAACTGCAATAGTGGAAACTGCAGCAGTGGAAACAACAGCATCAGAAATTGCTGCAGCAATGGGAACTGCTGTAGCAGAAACTGTTGGAGTGAAAACCGGAGCTGTAGAAACTGCAGCAGTGGAAACTGGAGCAGTCGAAGATGCGGGAGCCGAAACTGCAGCAATGGAAACTGCAGTAGTGGAAAACTGCAGTAGCAACAAATGAGCAAGTAGGAGCAGGACAAGAGCGACGTGGGGGCAAAGAAGAAGGTGGATGATACAGGCACCATCGCAGCATGCGTCGGAACACTGAGAGAGACGCATCACATGTGTAGGATAGCGACGCTGGCAGGAGCGCATGTAGTAGGTCCACCCTTCAGCAAGGGTTGGTGGGGAATGCCCACGAGAAAGCATGCGACGAGTAAGTGTTGTTGTCACAGTTCGAAAATCCTGCCAATTGTTGCAGATTTGTACGAATCTGGTCAATTGTCTAGTGAAGGAATGTTGGAGGTCGCACTTGGATAACGAATGACAGGGACATCCTAAGCAACCGCTTTATCAAACACGCTCATGCGAAGCGAGCCATAGGAACAGACCCGTAAATTCATACCTAAAAAGGTACACGAGCCATTTGTCGCTGTAGTTTCCTTCCACTCAAGCCTATAGTGCTCTGGAGGAGGAGGTAATTGCCCCCATGAAAGAACATCATCAATGAGGCGATAAGTAAAGGCGTATCGCTGAGCGGCTTGA